ACTATTCTATTTAAGTGCATATTTACTAATAAGTTATGAACTGAAAATTCAAATTTTCATCACATTTTAAATAAAATTTTCTTTCACCTCTTAAACTGAATTTAAGTAGAGCATTAAATAGTAATATTTTAACCTTCCGCCAACCCCCCCCCCCACTCCGCCAACCCCCCCCCCCCCCCCCCCCCCCCCCCCCCCCCCCCCCCCCCCCCCCCCCCCCCCCACCCCCCCCCCCCCCCCCCCCCACTATATACATGGGTAAGCGAAGTAATGTTTTCGGTCCAAAATATCGCTAGTGAGCTATTATTGAATAAGCTCGAATTAGGTTCCCCGGTACACTTTACTGTTTTTATAATAACGTTTATCTAGCATCGAGCTTATCTATCTGCCTGGATATGACAATTCGTCCACGATAACTCTATGTTTCACATTTAAGATTTCTGCCTTCACATAAAATTGCATTCATATAAGTGGATTAGATTTTAGGTAAAAATGGGCAGCCGAAAATGATACTTTACTTGAAATCTTGATTTTCTATTTTTTTAATGGACATTTTTTTAATGGACAATTGGAGGTCGTGCCTTTCGTAAATCTCGTAGTAGTTTTTAATGAAAACCTGCATTAAACTGTAATACAAAACATTTCAATTTTAATATTTATAACTTTTTATCAGCGGAAACAATATATTAGATTTAGGGTAAACTTTATAAATTGGATGTGAAATTTTACTTAAACCTTCGAGCAGAATTTCATAAAAAGTACATTGGTATATAAAACGCTTCTCAGATTTGGTATTTAAAACTCGTGTATGTGTTGTGTAATAATCTTACAGTATGATTCATAGTCACATACAAAATTTGATAAACCAAATTTTAACATTTAAGTACAATACAACTTCAGTTAATAAACTAACCTAAGGTTCAATTTATGAAATGACAAACTTAAGTTTTTATTTTTACTGTAGCGTACTGAAACATATTATTAAGATTAAACATATTATTAAATAATCCACATGTTACTCATGTAAGGATTTTAACTATTTTAAACGTCTCTGAAAACAAATTCGAAATGCAAATTTTCTTTCAGAGATAAGCCCCAAAGACGTTTACGAGTTCTAGTCGCGAGTTACAAAGTCGCAAGATTGATACTAATGCCATAAAATGTCTTTGTCAGACTACTTATTTTATCACTCTGTTATTAATTTTAGGAATTATCAAAACTATGCTTGGAATGGATGAAGCCGAAAATGTACCGCTTTAAAAAATATTATCAACTGGCTCAATGAAGACATGTTAATTATCATAGAAGAAACACTGATCCCGAAATTTTACGAAATTTTAGAAATTTTCAGTATAGTGTGATGAATCGGCACGTGTTAGAACTATTATCAGCTCGTTCCACTTGTTCGAATTCTTGATCAGAAAGTTTTAAATGAACATGATTTATTCTGCAAAGAATCCTAGAAACGAACAACTAGAAAGGAAACATTTAAAGTGATCAATTAAAATTTTCGCACATTCAAAATTTCATGGTAAAACTCTGTAAGTTCATGTACTTATGATGTCGCTGCAATGACTGGAAGAGACAGAGGTTTGGCGTTCAAAGGTTGGTCTGAAAATCCTGATATTCAAATAAAATATTGCTTTCCTCATTCAAGTTCATATATCAAATGTACCTTTAGAATTAAGTACCGCGCTTACACAAATGGTGAATGCAGCCCAAATCAGGCCTAAAGGTTTAAGTAGCGTCATTTTTCAATTTTACGAGATAAAATGGGATCAAATCATAAGTCCTCATTGTTTTGTACAAAAATGCATGGGCCATCGAGAAGAAAGCATCCATCCTTAATAATTTGAAAAAAAGAAATAAAATATGTTTAATATGTTAAAAACATGTTTTGAATGTAACTTTTAGTATTTAGCTAAGCTAAAAGACAACTACTTGTTGCAAGAAACAACCAGCTTAACTGACATACTTGAATATCTAAATAAACTTAATTGAAAAATGTAAGAAACGCCTGAGAATACATTAACTTGCCCAGACAAAATTAATGAATTCAAATACAAAATTCAACTTTGGGAAGATGTGAATAATAATTCGCTTGAAATATTTAGTCGGTGCTGTAGTTCGAATTCTAAAAACGAATACAGATGTAATTTGGAATTCGGCACAAAAGCAAAACTATGTAAGTTTCGAGTCCAAAATTTTTGAGATGTAACATAAAATCTTACTTTCATCTAAGTACTATTTCCAGCTTGTGAATGGAAGATAAAGATAGATATCTTATGGCTCCGTATCCTTTTAATAGTCACAGCACCTGTTCATTTTCGAACATGTGAACATATTCGAACATGTGTTCATTTCATGAACGTTTCATTTCTCAGATCATTCAGAATTATGATCTTATCAATTACGATTAACTAAGTGAATAAATTATGATTAGCTGCACTGAACTATGCACTGAACGAATAGTACACAATGGTTTTTTTCCTTTAAACTGTGTGCCTAGGAACCATATAACAAGTCTTATACTGCGAAGGTTCTAGATTCACATTTGTTATTAATCAAACAAAATTAATTATTTTAGTGTAGAACTTTATTGTTTTTCTTGGCCTTGAATTTGAGGAAAAAAATTCACTTAGTTTCATCCTTATAGGTACATAATTTTTTTTAAATTTTTTATATATGTAAATACTTCTAGTGAAATTATATGTAAATTGTAGTATCTCTTGTATTATGCAGCGTGAAAGTCTTTAGTATGCCAACTTTTGTAGGATTACAGTAATAGGATTTCTAACAGAAATGCAAAAAATAGGATCCCAGGAATAGGATTACTAACAGAAATAAAAAAAAACCGGATTACAGGTGTTAGCCCAATTGCTATTGAGATTAATGGCCTTGATGCAAGCTGCCGATGGTTTCGCTAACTAATTATAACGCCAAATGTGGCGAAAAATCAACAAAAGTCGCCAAATTTGGAGATTATTTGGTGACAATTTGGTTCTATCCCTATGTAACTGCAAGTTTATCGGTAACTATATGTGCCTTCTCGAAATTTCGAGAAATCGAAGATACTGAAAATTTTCGCCGGAGGAAAACTATACTATAAGACTGGAAAGAGCATCAGTTTTCTTTATTGAGATTATAAAGAGATCACTGTGCGAAATTACACATTTGGAGCTTCATGTATTGTCTTATATTTAACGTTCTTAGTAGTCTGAAGTGATAACTATTGATTCTTCTATGCCATTTCAGTTCATTACTAGCCATACGCACACAACAGTATTTAAACAATTTAATTATCTTCCTTGTAGAAACATCTTCAACAAAATAAGCTCATTATGAGTGGCTATCTTAATGCTCCGTCTAAAACACTCTAAATATTCACTGTCATTTTGCATTGAGATTGTATAAGCTTCTTTTATCCGAATTCTTAACCTATATCAAACTCAGCTTTCTTGCTTTACTACTCCTAAATTATTATTTTCGAGAAATATGTTGACTTTGTGATACGAAAACTAGTGCATTAAAGAAGAAGGCAAATAATCCTGCTGCGCATATCACCATGTCATATTTTCTACCTGACCTAGGAATTTATGTTCGCTTTTGACAATTTGCAGTCATCTCTTTCTTAATAAACTGTTGAAAGTTCTTATACGAAAAGCAGCACATATTTGTTTTAAATAAACACAGCCGAGTGTTTAATTACTGAGTAGCTGAAATAATTATTTTTATTAATCTTTATGATTTGCCACTTTTATCTAATTTTCGATTCGATTGCGATGTATTTCCTTTCAGTTTATCTGCGCCATTAATTGTAATCTTCGAAAGTGCCATCTGTGAATTCTTATACTTATGTTATATTTACAACAGATAAATAAAAATTTGCATCAGCTTATAATATTGTTCCCGGATTCCAGTCTACATTTCACTGTTATGATTAAATGTCAATGTACGTAAATGTCTCTGATCATTAAAATAAAAGCTTATTAAAGCATGAATGCGGTTTTAGCAGCAGAAAATTATCCAGTTGAAATAAATAAAAAGTACTGCGACATGTATTCTGATAAAATTGAATAAAATCTTTAATGAGAAAATTTTAAATTATTAATGTAGATGTAATGGAATTAAGAAACGAGGCTATTTATTTGGTTTGGTATTTACGTATCATCCTGTCGACAGTCAAACTGTTGCCGAGCAACGCGATTTATCGCTATTTATGGACGAGTTATAGTATCTTTCTTTCGAGGTATGACTGAATCTCGATTATTTCTTGACTGATTCCCGACTGATTCTCGATAAGCTACATTTTTTATGAAGAAGGCTATAAATTAACTGATATTGCAGGACTTCGTTCTTGCATTCGGAAAGAAATTAATGCGAAGGTTCTAGATTCACATTTGTAACCGCATTCCGGTTCATTTCTAGTTAGCTAGCCAAGAGAATTAACTTCTGTTGAATGGAAAAAAAGAACAAGCAAACATCGTCTGACTAAACAATCACCTAAGAAAAGTTTGTACTCTAAACAATCTCAACAGATACATCGGTAAAAACAGAGGTCTTAAAAAAATGTACAAATCAATGAAAGCTTTTTCCGCAATGCAAAACCCAAGCTGGTCGAATACTTCCGAAGCAGTGAATATTTGATAGATTGTACTGAGAGACTGATGAAAGTTTTATTGTAAGAGCTGGAGATAGAAGTGAGGCTCGGAATTCCGCAGAAACGACTGGCACAAATTTGGCGGAATCTTCGTCAATTTTAATGGCTCAATGGTAACCAACATTCAAGGTCGACGGGATAATATATGAGTACTTTTTATTTTTAAAATATATCTGTAAATTCTTTGTTGAATAGATTTTTCAGTTCGACAAAGAATTTATACGTGTATTCAAGTTAAGTAATCTAAGTTGAATGACGTCAGTCATAGCTAGCAAAAATCATGTTGCAATAAATACATTTAAAAATGTTAATTTACATAAAAGTCCTGAAGCTGTATACATACTCCAACCGATGAAATAGAACATCCTCAAAGATTTCTGTTCTGCAAAAGATGCTGCTATGAGCTTGTGAAGATAAAAGCCTTCGCAAAACATCCACATGTAGGTAGTCATTCGCGTATATTTGGTGATGATGTACAACACTTTACATCCAATCTACAATAATGAGAAAGAAGTGAACTTATTATTTGAATTGCAATGCATTAAAATGTTAAGTAAAACATTAGAATTAAAATGCTAATGTCGTACTTTACCTATTTATTAAATAATTTACTTATTAAATAATATAAACTTTTGTGTATCTTAACTTGTACTGATTTAAATGAACTTCATTGAAACCATTGAAAGCAACAAATAAGTTCATAAGATTTTTAAAAATTTTATTTGGGCTAATTTACTATTCGAATTTCTTTATCTTTCGTTTTCATATTCCTGAAACATACGAGAAGATGCAAATATACTTAGTAAAAATACGAAACGACAGTATGAAATATGGAGCAGACTGTAACTAACTTAATTTTTTCTTTTATATACTTTTATTTTAATTAATTGATCAGTTAATTAACTTTCTTTTTGCATTTTTAGGCACTGTAGCTATTTCTAAATCTTTTCAAGTAAATCTCGTTGTAATATTTGAATTAGAACTTTAAAACTGTCAAATAAAGAAAATGCACTTACGTGCAAATTTACCTTTACATGTCCAAAAATAATGGTATTCCGGGAAATATTCAATCGATGTAATTCATTTCTATAGGGAATGTATAAGGGATAAGCATAATTAGTATTATTCAATTAGATGCCAATTCCAATCAATTCTACAATTTACATTATCCAATTCAAGTGGTCAAATAGCTTCTGAAACGCAAATTAAGGCCATCTGATGGTGAATCTAGCGCTTTGCTCAAAGTGAATTTCTGCAATACGTCGTCTGATTTCAGTTTGTATGCGTCTGATTTCAGATTTCAAAACGGTTTGTTAAGACTCCGAAGTATCTTTTGGAAGAATCTATGGAGTAGCCGTTTAGAAGCCGCTTAGAATTGTCTGCCGTTTAGAAACGGGCAGACAATCGTGCAAGCAGTGAGATGTGTGAATATTTCAAGACAGGCAGTCTCTAAATATGAAAATAATTTCAGGACTCTGAAACTCTTGTCAGTAGTCATGGAAAATGTCATAAACTAACAGCAACGGCTTCTCAAAATCGATATCTGTCAAAAATTGCGCAAGTAACACGAAGTCTACTGCTCGGTACTTAAGTGAACTTGCAGCGCCGCTGGAACTGTTATATCACGGCAAATTGTATACAAAAGGCTTAATGGAAATGGAATTTCGGCTAATTTTTAGAATATTATAACAGGTAGTTTGGCGACATTTTGGGAAGGTGATAAAGGTTACTAGCTAGGACTTTAGCAATAATCTGAGAAGTACATAGTTCGAATCACAGATTATTTTGTCTCAGAGAAATGAGAGATCATGAGACATGTAATGTGACATTTTACGGAAAATTCCGATCGTGATTTTAGCTAATAAGCACTTAGAAACAATTTCGCTGCTAAAGTGCAGAATCGTTCACTTATTTGTTTGGCGCTTTTTACAAGAGTAAGAAGAATTGGATTTTTTGTCAATTTTCTTTGACTTTTTAAGTGAAAATAGATCGATGTGTACATAGATAAAGTCAAGAGTCAAAATCGTAAAAAACAACCTTATATTTAGCGTAGGTATAATGAATACATAGGTCATCCTATGTATTTCTTTCTCCTGATGAGGAGGGACCTTTAGCTGCCCTCGAAATCGATTGAGTGTTTCATTATACCTACGCTAAATATAAGGTTGTTTTTTACGATTTTGATTGTCACATTAGCGCGTTTCTCTTCTAGTCTAAAGTCAAGAGTGTACGCAATGCCATTTTTGTGCAATTCTGGGATGTTTTATTAAGTGAAAATAGGTGGACGTGTACATGGATACCGTGTATGTGCAATTCTTAAAAACGCGGCAAGCAGTTTGCGATTCTGCACTTCTCCCAATTTCGCACCTAATCTTCCTCATGATTAAGCATTTTTGTTCCATAAAAGTTCTAGTATACGCGTAATTCGGCTAGCAGATTGTTGGAAAAAATGTTGAGAAAAAAAAAAAAAAAAAAAAAAAAAAAGCACTTATTTCGTAAAAACAAAATGGCGTCCAAAACAAAATTAGCAGGTTACTGTAGCAGGGTTGGTCGCCAAATTTTCTCCAAAAAATCGCGAAGTTACCATAATGTAAAGATTCACCGGCATTTCTGCCAGGATGCCGAGGATATGCTTTCTGCAGTTTTTACCATAAAAGAAGGATCATTTTAATTGGTGTAAAGAAATTCAAAACTGCAGTGAAAATTAATGGTTCTATGCTGTCTTTACTGACGAAACAAGGTTTAATTTAACATTTGATTTTACATCTGAATGGGGTAAGGAGCAAGAAATATTTTCGAACTTTACGCAACGTGACCATTTCATTAATGAAGGTGTGATGATATGGGGAGAAATAATGATCGACTGACAAACGTCCCTACAAAAACATTTTCAACGGAGGATCTCTGATTGCCCTAAAATATCGGAATGAGGTCCTAGAACCTTATGTAAGACTTTTAGAAGTGCATACGGATCTGACCTTTTATTTATGGAGTAAAATGTTCGTTCACATAGCGCAAACGTCATTAATGAATTCCTTGACATTGGGTGAATATCTTGATTAGAAAAATATCATGATCTTATCCACTGGAGAACTTATACCTTGGAAAAACAGTTTCACGGAGACATCCTCTCCCTAAAATTGTTATAAATGTTGTAAAGACTGCATTGCTGGAAGATTGGAATATAACTAATTCCCCGAACTGTGATTAATAGCGTTGCTGCTAGCATGAATGCGCGTTATGATATGCATGTACATGTCAGAGTAGATCACATGTCATATTAAATTCATAAGCCTTAAGGGGAGTTGGAACCCCAAAATCTTCAAAAAATTTTTATTTCGGATTTTTCCATTTTCAAATTCTCTGCACTTTTATCTTTCTAAAAATACGATTCTTTAATCTCTATGAAAATTAGAACTGTAAAAAAATTTAGTTTAAATTTGTCATCGAATATTTGATCAAATGATGATTTTTACATAAAAACGCGTTTTTTTTTTCTCCAAACGTGATTTTTTTTATACTCGATGTACCTTTTACTCAGGAACTACTGCCTCATAGGTATCTAAACTTTTTATGGCTTATTTGTTAGGTTTCCCTAATATTTACTTGAAATGAGCCTTTCGTGATAAACTAAGGGAAAAAAATTAAATTTTTTTATTTATTTGTTGTGTGAGAAAAGTGCTAAATTTTACTATGCCTAACAAAATATCCTGTAATTTACTCTAAAAATTCAAAATGTTTCAAAAGCTCATTTCAGTATAATCAGATAGGTATACTTTAATTACAGAAAAAATTTCAAGCTTGTATCTACAGTAGAGTTTGAGAAAAGGTACATCGAAAATGGCCAACTTCACATTGTCGGTATAGGGGTTTCTGATACCCCTTAATTTGTTTCTATTTTTAAAAATTTTTCATGTAACATATTCTTACAAGTTTTATTGGTTCAAGCTATTATTTTATAGAATGTGTTGTATTCTTATTTTGTTTCTTTACATTCTGTAATTCTGTAAAGCAACAAAACACAAATTCATAAAATTTCAGTTCACAGTTTCAGAGAAATTCATGATTTTATTGCATGTACAAATAATTTTGAATATGAGTATAGCTCTGAGATAAACATTGCGAGATCGGTCATTTAAATCATCACGTGATGTTTGTTAGTGCACATGATGTTCATTATTGCCGCAGCGCTTATAAATGTTCAAATGCAAATTATTTTAATTTTTACTATTAGCTCAATATTTATTATTTTTACTAGACATTTACTGAAATTTGAAAATGTTTCAACAGCGCATCAGAGGTGATTACTTTGAAGACGCGCGCGCAAACACAAACTTCCAAATATTAATCGAAAAGGCATATGCGGAGAAAGAAAGGCATTAATAAACCACACTACAAACAATATTCTCGCCAAACAGAAGTTTTACACTGAAACGAAAATACTAAGCATGAAAGACCTTAATGCGATGCAACAGTTTTTTAACCAGAGATTATGAGCATAGTGTCGCAGATGATGAAATCGGACTCTCAGGTATTCTCGCTTTCTCAGATTAGTTTTTTAGCCAATATTTATGTTGGATTTAATATAATTTTATAAGTTTTCCTCTTTTAGAATTGAGCTTATTTATCGGTATATAAATAACTTGGTTTCACCAATCCTTTGACTAAAATATATAGAATTACGAAAACGAAACTTGGAGGCAAAAGTAAGCAAATACAGACAGAAAAAAATATAAACTGAAGATAAGATCGTGATGAAAATAACGGCCGTTGAAATGGATTCATAGGTTTATACAATTTCTTTGTAGTGCCAGGTTCAAACGCATAAAGAAGCAAAATAAAAGCATGAACGGAAATAGAATTCAATTCTATAGGTATGTCGATAACTGCTTGACAGGCAATAATACATTGCAAAAGAAATAATCGAGTTTTACATTTTCGGGAGAGACATTTGAGACACTTTCGAACAATTTAGATTGGATGTATAGAGACATACATAATGAAAATACTTTTCTATATCTATGTCGGTAAAATGTAACATATCCAAAATGTTTGTTTATTAGATTTTCCTCGAAATCGGATTTCTGTATATTTAAAAAAATGCTGATGTAAAATAGATTTCGTTTTCGATTCAAATTCCTTTTTTCCTTTGTAGATGTCCATTTTTATCACGTGATTTTTCTTTGTTAATTTGTTCTACCAAGACAACAAAAAAAGGGAAAACATGAAAAATTTTAAAGAATGGATTGGATTATTCAATTACAGCAAAGCACACGAGGGCTATCTGCCTAAGGGGAGGGATGCCTTCGTGGAGGACGTTCTAAGGGAAACTGGCTCGTATATACGTTACACATGGGAAAAACCACGAAAACGTCCATGCAGTCAGCCCGTTCGCGGGATTCGAACCTCGGACCGAACTAACAGTGTTCAGCGTCTTTACCGCTCGGCCGCTGGTGGGATTTTAAAAAACGGAATTCTGTATTATAAGATTCGA